AGCATAAAATATAAAGCGAAATTATAGATGCATATTGGCAACTAGCATGACCCCTTGAAATCTTCATATCTTCAAAAGGTCTTCATTTGCAATTCAAGGCTTTGTCTTCCAAGATACGCCGTCTTCAAGACTTAACCAAACTAAGCAAAAAACTAGTGTCTACAACTAGGAATAATCTAAATATTAAAGTACAAAAATACTTAACGGTGCGTACACCGTATTTAGATTTACAAAAATACATAACGGCACGTAGTCCGTATTTTCTATCCTAGTCAGGTCCCACTAGTTGCCATTTCATAAAACCTGAGAGAGAATATATATATATTCCATTCATCCATTCACTATTTGTGAATGGCCCATGCAATTTACAAATTAAAACAAAGTAAAATGCAATTAAACAACGTGCGCACTAGTAACTAATCTAGGTGGTTAATCCGATTAACACGCCTAATTAAAACTAGTCAAAGTTGTTTAACCGATTATATAATTTACGTCATTAATAATTGAAGCTCCCACTAAATTCCGCATTTCCTTAATTAATCTAATTAATTAAGTCTGTAGCACCTAAACTTGTCAAAATGAAATTTTGCCAATGCCGCTCAAAACCGAGGCCTAGCCTCCCAAACTTTTAATTAAAATAAACAAAATTAATTGAAATAAATAAAACGGCAAAATAAGCAATATTAAGGCTAGTCACCTCACCGCACCAAGCATATGCACATGCCAAAAAACACGAACACACGACCCACGGCACACGCCCGCGAGCTGCTGCCACGGCACAGCCCCGCGTGGCTGCTGCAGCCAGCGTGCTGCTGCCGCACTTATGCTGCTGCCGTGCGTGGCTGCTGCCGCGCGTGTGCTGCTGCCGTGCGTGGCTGCTGCCGCGCGTGTGGCCGCAAGCAAGGCGGCGCTGCCACCTTGGTAGCCACATATGGGCTGCTATGCAGCCCGGCTCGCCAAGGTGATGCAATGCCTCATTTTGCGTGCCACGGCCTCGGGATTTGATCCCTTTTCGCGAGACAACAATAATTTATTGTAAATTAATTTTAGAACTAATTTAGAGAGAAAAATAAAATTTTAAACAAGTCTAACTTAATAAAATTTTCAAAGTGCAAATAACCAAAATAATTCCAAGAACCATTCTTAATTAAATTGGTTTAGCCTGGTGCAACATAAAATTGAGGCAATTTCTCACTTTCAATTTAATCAATTTAAATTAAACTTGAGAATTTGACAAAGTAAAGGGAAGTTGGAAAAATATGAACTTTAATGTTCAAATGAAAATTCCAACATCTAAATTTTGTGAATCCTTGAAAATTATATCTTCCAACATGAAGATAACCAAATTTCTATCACAAAAATCGAAACTTTATGTTTCCAATCAACTCAAAATGATTAAAACATCAAAGTTTAACACAAAATAACATGGAATTTAGAGGTTTTTAAAGTTTCAATCACTTATCACAAATAAAGATTGAATCTTTAACACTTAGGAAGCCTCAAAAATAAAACTTTCACACTAAAAAGCAATTAGTTTTCAGTTATGTGAAAATAAATCAACCTTTAAACATCAAATACTACCAAGTAAGTGTGCTTTAAGGGGACATAAAAATGCAGAAAATAATGCAAATAATCAACCATATAATCAACAATTTATGCCAATAATTCCAAGGTTAGAAAAGACTTCAAATTTTTCGTCAAAAATGAAAAAACCCCTCGAAAAAGGCATTTCTGGTCAGAATTTGGCTAAAATCACAGTTTTCCACCCAAAATTCACTAGTCTTGGGCGAAAATCTGGATTCTGGGCCAAAATCGACATTAAAACGGGATTAAAATAAATAAAATCGATCTACTAATCTAATTAGCAACTTAAACCAGAAAATTAAGCCAAAAGAAACCCTGAAAAACATGATTATAAAAATAAACGAGCGAAGCTCCGATACCGATGTTGGGGTTTAGTGAGTCCGACTCACCGCGGAAACAAACCCCTACCCGAGGAACCACTCGCAATAATTAAAATCATAAACCATAAATAAATAATCACAAAGAAAAGATTACGACTCTTACCCTCGAAGCGAGCTTCGCCCAAAAACCGGGGCTCTTACTTGAAAGCTACGAGCACGTCAAGCGCCGCGCCTCCGACGGTATCCACCCACAAAAAGGCGAACACAACTTTAAGGTCTACTACCTGGGGGTTAGCGAGATCCGACCAAAAACCGAGTGTTATATGAGTTTAAGAGTTTTCCCAAAATTATGGAATGCTCTTTTTAACTCCCACGCAAGCAAAGAATTCTCAAGTCATTCCATGACTATTTATAAGGAAGTATGCCTTGTGAATTTCACTCATCTTTCAATGTGGGACTTTTCACAAAACTATCCCACATGGAAAGATTGGTGAATTCAACCCTTAGTTAAATAAACAAAGGAACAAGTGACAAGTGTCACATGGTTCGGTGTGGACCACTTTCTCACTTGGTCCCCAAGGCATTTCATATGCAATGTGAACTAACCATGTGTCACCCAGCCTTGAGCCCCAAGTTGGGTTCGGTTGGCCCATTTTATTTTGGCCTATGTCCATGACCCATCAACCCGGGTCCACGGCCATTGCCACATGTGTCGCCACCGTGGCGCGCCGCCACCATGGCGCTGCCACTTGGTGGCTGCCAATGTGGCGGCTGCAAACGTGGCTGCTGCCAACGTGGCGGCTGCCACTTGGCGGCTGCCAACGTGGCTGCTGCCAACGCGGCGGCCACGTGTGCTGCCACATGGCGTTTTGCCATGTGTGCTGCCACGTGGCATGCTTCTATTGGGAATGCATTCCTAGCCTTTTGCGTGGCTAGGATTTTACTTGTTACTTGATGCATTTTCCAGTCTCGCCAAATCCTAAATTTTGGCTCGATATTTGAGATTCTGTTACGCTCGATTTCGACGCTCCAAGCTCGAATTTCCGACGTCTAAATGTTTAACACTCGGGCGACGAATTAATTTCTTCCGAATTAATTCGTCTTGTTGGTTCGTATATTTTGTTTGGGTGTGACCCGAAGGGTTCAGTCAAGATTAAGCTGTAATATTAATTATATTAATATTACTGATCGGAAGCGGCCTCCACCCAGGCATTCCGATCACTTGACCTTACTGAATATATTAGCTTTCTAATAATTATGAACCCTCTATCAGAATAATACACTTGTTCGAAGGACACTATTCCTTTCACACTATTGCTTGTTCCTAAGTGCAACTCATGAGTCATGAGGGAACCAGCAAGTTGCTCAATGTTGAACTTTGTGAAGTCCTTAGTTTCTTGTAGGGCAGTCACCTTGGCTCTCCATCTTTCGTCTTGGGGGAGGCTCCTTAGAACTTTCCTGATCTGCTCATCAATAGGTATTTGCTTTCCAAGAGAAACAAGCTCATTAATAATGTTAGTAAACCTTGTTAACATTTCCTGAATTGTCTCTTTAGATTTCATTTCAAAACGTTCATATTTAAACATAAGCAGATCAATTTTAGAGCATTTCACCTCGTTAGTTCCTTCATGTGTTACTTGAAGTAAATCCCAAATTTCTTTAGCATTTTTACAACCCATAACACGATTGTGTTCATGGGGACCAAGACCACAGTGAAGTAATTTAACGGCAAGTGCATTAATTTCCATTTTTTCAAAATCTTCCTTATCAAATTCAGACATGCGTTTAGGTACTACCTCATTTTCACCAATAGTTTTGGTGATTTCGAAATCACCAACTTCAATAACTCTCCAAACTTGGTAGTTGTCAGCTTTGATAAAAATTTCCATCCTATTCTTCCAATAGGTGTAGAACTTCCCATTGAACATAGGAGGACGCTGCGTAGAGTAACCTTCTTCCAGTTTCTCGTGATTGTTCATGTTGCTTCCAGGAACTTAACTCGTCAGGGTTTCCTGATTTCTTCGAGAAACTTGCTCTGATACCAATTGTTAACTCAAATGAACAATACAAGAGGGGGGGTGAATTGTATTGTAAAGGAACTAGGGTAACTTTTGCAGAATTTATTAAAGAACTCAAACAAAAACTAAAAGTGCAAAGAGAGATTTTACGTGGAAAACTTCTTGGCCCTGATCAAGAAGAAAAACCACGACCACAAGGGATTTTAAACTCAACTCTTAATAATAATAGGGCAAACAACCTATTACAAATTAAGACTCTAAACTCAAGTTCCTCTACGAACTTAACCTCCCTTTAACTGATCTCTCAATCAGTCGATCTCTCTAACTCTCTCTTTCTCCTTGCTTCACTCAAAGCAATAAAACACTCTTAGAGTTTCCCCAAACTCTATCCCAATACAACTCAAGATTAAACTCTAAATTGGTAAGTACAAAGACACTTAAGGAATCAAGTGGATTATGACTCTTTTGAAGATTAAAAGACTGTAATGCTCAAGTGTGATTTTCTTAACAGAAAACCGAAGCTATTTATAGGAAAATTAGGAAGTTGAAATAATCGATGCCACAATACCACTCAGCCACAACTCTTTTAAAACTAGGAAGTGTAAGGAGTGTGATCTTGGGCAGCAAGTAAATCGAAATACTAGGAATTAGTTTTGCTGCTTCCTAAATTATCTCAACTTATTTTGACAACATAAAACACACGTTGAAGAGATATTTTTCCAAAACATATTTTCCAAAGAATATGATAAAATAAAACTAGAAAATCATTTCACAAAAGATATTTAAACTTAAAAGATATTTTCGAAAATTAACAAGTTAAAATATGAAAAATAAAATCTTTTATCAAAAATAAATTTAAATCCACTTAAACCTTAAATTATCATTGTACTTCGCATAAATACAAGATGCCTAACATAAAGATAAAATATATTAAACTCCTTGATACTCTGAGAAGCTTCGACTCTGAAGCTTCAGTTCCTCATACAAGGAACTCTCCTATGAAGCTTCAACTCTGGAGCTTCAGTTCCTCACTAAAGGAACACGACTTGATTGACTTCTTTATCCTTTCATAACTGACTTAGACCATGATCCATGCTCCCTTCTCACTCAAGAATTCCATAGCATAAACCTGTCATAGTTCAAAGATAAAAACAAAAGTTAAACTTATATAGGTTTGCTTAGGTTTCTTGAGTCATCATCAAAACATAAGGTCAACAGTCTCCCTCAAAGGATCTATGACGACTAGCAAGTCGCAGTCCGACTAGGAAGTCCACGTAGGCCAAGATGGCCCGATCATACGACCCGACTGTAGGAAGGTCGCGAAGAGAAGGCAAGTAGTAGAGTAGCACTCGAGTACCTCTGTCGGGAGAAAAGGTCCCTGACAACAGGATAAGAGCAAAAATGCACACTTGCTGCTCTGGGTGGTCGCACTATCCTAAAAGACCGCCGCAAGAGTGCTCCGACGAATGCATCTAGTGCTAAGCTACGTCGGATCAACCTCAGCACGAGCCCGAATAGTTATATGGCCCAACATCTGCAGTACCTCTGGAGAAAAGACAACAATCTCGCTATCGAAAGGGAGCGGGACAAAAGTGAACTCTAATCCCGTAATGAGACTAAAGTCAACAGGGGTAACAGTCATCTCACCCCAACGAATATGGAAGGTGTTGGTGGTGTCCCAAAAGAACTCCACTAAAGCTCGGACTACATAGTGACTTTGTACGAAAGAGTACATAGCTTGAGTGCTCAGTAGTCCCCCGTATTTTTAAATATTTTATAAATGAAAGGAGGCATGGGGTTTTTCTTTTATTAATGTTCCAAATGGAGCATGGGTTGGATAACCTTGTCTATTACAAAATCCAATGAAATAAATAAATGAGTTAGTTAACATTAACTAGTGAGGTCTTAATAAATTTGATGGTTGAGTTATGTGTTGAGTCTATAATTTAATGATGCTTATGCTTGATTATTAGTAGCATGTTAGGTATTTCTTAATTTATTTTCGCAGCTTGTATGTACTCAGCTTTGCTGATTGCGTGCTTTCTTGTGTGTCTTCTTTGGTCATGGCCTTCGTCTTTCAATGACCCTGTAACGATCCAATCATTACACTTGTAATATTGGGGAGAAAATTAACCACAGGTTCTTACATATGCAGCAATCGCTTAAGGGTTGTGGGATTTTGAGTAGAGAGTTGGTTATTATTCGCAGTTTATTTCTTTTCATAAGTTTGAATTTATTTAAACTCTTGTTTTATTTATTTACTACTTTTGTGGGGTTTTGAATAAGGGTCTTAATGGTTCCAAGTTGTAAGATTTAATTTGGTTTTGGTTGTTGGTTTTGAAACTTATTTATGACTGAGTTAGTTTTTCCGCTACTAATTTCTGATAAAGCCTTAACATTTGAAAACGTGGCGGTAGCACGCCAGTAATTCTCTTGGATTTTATTTAGGGTATTCACAGGTTTTAAAAGAGAATTATTGGGGTGTTACAAAGTGGTATCTGGGAGCTTAGGTTCGATTTAATTACCACTAAAGTCAGTTTAAAGTTTTTGGGCACCTATTGTTTTTAAATCTAACGATTGGATTTAAGTACTTGATTTAAAATTAAAATGTTGTTTTTTGAAAATTATTTTATCTAAAATTAATTAATTTAGCATTTATTTAAAATAATAAGTATGTAATTAAATTAGTGTGTTGTATAAATATTTTAAAATAAAATGAATTTTAATATTCATTTTACTCTTTTAACTTGGGTACTAGTTGTGTCATTTTATCGGTGAGTTTTGGGTAGTCTTAGGATGGGCATCTAAGTTGATGAATTCTTTTTATGTGCATTGTATTCAATTTTTGTGTTATTTAATGTTGAATAAAGTGATTTATGCAAGGGATTTAAATTATATATGTGGTATATGGGATGATTTGTGCATTTTTTTTTTTTTTTGGTAAGTAAGTAGTTGTATTGCTCAACCAAAAACTGTACAATCAGTACAAACTAAAGCCTGAAAACAGGCTACCAAAAGCTATACAAGACCCCAAAGGTCATATACAAAATACAACCTATACACTTAGGCTCTCTAGCCATTCTCTATTTTTTACACGTAGCTTCTTTCCTCCTATAGCTAGTAATCTATGCTTTACATCAGACTTTATACACCTAGCAATGTTTGGTATGTTCATAACTTTCTTTTCCCAGAAAGCTACATTTCTGACTCTCCAGATCTGGTAGATAACAGCTAAAATGCAGGCCTGCACCATAGTTCTCTGGAATCTGTTTCTAAACCTTCTGCAAACTCGAACCAGAGTATTAAGCTTGAGGATCTCAGGACCAAAGCCCATCCAATCTCTAACATCCTGCCAAACTCTGCTACTGTAAAAGCATTCAAAGAATAAATGACTATGATTCTCATCACAGACATCACAAAGTAAACACTTCTTATCAGAGATATCCCACTGATTGTGTAGCCGATCCCTGGTCTTCAATCTATGCTGAATGGCCAGCCAGGCAATGAATTGTTGTTTTGGCTGAGCAGCTCTCTCCCATATCACATTATGGGGTATGTGCATTGTAATATCTATGAGTGATCATTATGGGGTATGTGAAGCATGTAATTGTGAGTTTGATTTATGGTTATTTAATGATTCTATTTATTGTTTTTGGGGTTATTAATAGAATATTTCTTTCTTTAATTTGACTAACCTCCAAACCTTACACCCAATGAGAGTTTATTTTGAAAGGAATGGTGTCCTTCGAACAAGTGTTCAGAATTATTAGAAAGCTAATATATTCAGTAAGGTCAAGTAATCGAAATGCCTGGGTGGAGGCCGCTTCCGAGCAGTAATATTAATATAATTAATATTAAAGCTTAATCTTGACTGAGCCCTTCGGGTCACACCCAAGAAAAATATACGAACCGACTCGACGAATTAATTCGGAAGAAATTAATTTGTCGCCAGAGTGTTAAATATTTAGACGTTGGTAATTCGAGCTTGGAGCGTCGAAATCGATCGTCGGAAGTCGAGTAAAAATTAATAATAAAAAGACGAGACGCGCAAAATAATAATAAATCGACCATATTCCCAAATTACCCTTAGCATCGGAATGCCCCGAGCATCCGAATGCTAGGGGAAAAAATGTCCAAGCATAGGTGGCTAGCAAGCGCACCAAGCCGAGCCTAGCATGGCTGGCTAGGTGCGTACTAGCGCACCGTGCTAGCAACCACGCACAACAGCAGCTAGCAGCCGCGTGCACGTGGTGCGTGCAGCAGCTAGCTGCCGCAAGCTAGGCGTGCTAGCAGCGCACGCACTAGCAGCCACACACAGCAGCAAGCCCGCACCAAGTGCGTGGCTTGCGCACAGCAGCAGCCCGCATCTTGGTGCGGGGCTGGGCTTGGGCTGGACTCGTGGCTGGGCCATAGGGCCGGTCACTATGGGGAAGCTTGAGGAATATGGGAGCAAGTGGGTAAGGACATGTGGCACAAGGAGAGTATTGAGTGGGGAGCAAGTATGGTCCCCTACTCTCCATGTGGTCCTCACCAACCCATTTCACATGGTAATGCCACTTATAGATTTATTATTAGTTTGCAATTTTAATTTAATTTAGCTTTAAATTAATTTGTGGAATTTCATGATCCCATATTGATGGGATAGAAATTCCCACTCATACTTTCCTCTATAAATATCAACCTTGGGATTTGGATTAAAGTGCTTGAGTGGGAGTTAGAAAGAGCATTCCATATTTTGGGAAAAACTCTTAAACTCCATTAACACTTGGGTTTTGGTCGGACCTTGCTAACTCCAAGGTAGCGGACCTAAAAAGTCGTGTTCGTCCTTTGTGGGTGGATACCGTTGGAGGCACGGCATTTGCGGTGCTCAAGGCTTTTAAGTAAGAGCCCGTTTTGAGAGGGGGAAGCTCGCTTCAAGGGTATGATTCGTTCTTCCTTTTTCTTGTGTTTATTTATTTATGCTTTATGGTTTTATTAATTACGAGTGGTTCCTTGGGTCGGGGTTATTTCCGCGGTGAGTCGGACTCATCAAACCCCAACAACGGTATTGGAGCCCCGCTCGTTTATTTTTATAATCATGTTTTTCAAGGTTTATCTTGGCTTATTTTTCTGGTTTAATTTTCTAATTAGATTAGTAGCTCGGTTTTATTTATTTTAATCCTGTTTTTAATGTCGAGTTTGGCCCAGAACCTAGATTTTCGCCCAAAAACAGTGAATTTTGGGTGGAAAAGGTGTTCTGGAAAGATTTTTACCCCTTTGGAGCGTTGATTTTAGCCAAATTATGACCAGAAATGCCTTTTTCGAGGGATTTTTCGTTTTTGACGAAAAATTTTAAGTCTTTTCTAACCTTGAAATTAATGGCTTAACTTGTTGATTATGTGGTTGATTATTTGCATTATTTTCTGCATTTTTAAGTCCCCTTACTTGGTAGTATTTGATGCTTCAAGGTTGATTTATTTTCACATAATTGCAAACTAATTGCTTTTTAGTGTGAAATTTTTTGTTTTGAGGCTTCCTAAGTGTTAAAGATTCAATCTTTATTTGTGATAAGTGATTGAAACTTTGAAAACCACTAAATTCCATGTTATTTTGTGTTAAACTTTGTTGTTTTTATCATTTAGAATTGATTGGAAACATAAAGTTTCAATTTTTGTGATACAAAATAAGTTATCTTCATGTTGGAAGATAAAATTTTCAAGGATTCACAAAATTTAGATGTTGGAATTTTCATTTGAACATTAAAATTCATATTTTTCCAACTTCCCCTTACTTTGTCAAATTCTCAACTTTAATTTAAATTGATTAAATTAAAAGTGAGAAATTGCCTCAACTTTGTTATTGCACCAAGCTAAACCAATTTAATTAAGAATGGTTCTTGGAATTATTTTGGTTATTTGCACTTTGAAAATTGTATTAAGTTAGACTTGTTTAAAATTTTTATTTTTTGCTCATTAAGTTAGTTCTAAAATTAATTTAGAATTAATTAATTATGTCTCGCGAAATGGGATCAAATCCCGAGGCCATGGCACGCAAAACGAGGCAAAGAACCACCCTTGGCTAGCCGGGCTGCATAGCAGCCCGCATGTGGCTGCCAAGGTGGCTGCCAAGGTGGCTGCCCTGCCTTGCGTGGGGCCACACGTGCGGCAGCAGCACACGGCCGCAGCAGCCACGCACCAGCAGCCATGGTTGTGCGTGCGCATGCGTGCGGCAGTGGCAGCAGCCCATGGCTTCTTGCCGCGGGCCGTGTGTGCGGAGTTTTTTGTGTGTGCATATGCTTGGTACGGTGAGGTAAATAGCCGTAGTATGCTTGGTTTGCATGAGCCGCGATAATTCAAGTTTCCTTGGCAAAACGCTTAAAGCGAAAGCCACTTGAAATGCGGTTGGCTTAATATTCCTTATTTTGCCGTTTTATTTATTTTAATTAATTTTGTTTATTTTAATTAAAATTTTGGGAGGTTAGGCCTCGGTTTTGAGCGGCATTGGCAAAATTTTATTTTGACAAGTTTGGGTGCTACTGACTTAATTAATTGGATTAATTAAGGGAAATGCGGAATTTAGTGGGAGCTTCAATTATTAATGACGTCAATTACATAATCGGTTAAACAACTTTGACTAGTTTTAATTAGGCGTGTTAATCGGATTAACCACCTAGATTAGTTACTAGTGCGCGCGTTGTTTAAATGCATTTTACTTGTTTGATATTGTAAATTGCATGGGCCATTCACAAATAGTGAATGGATGAATGGAATGTATATTCTCTCTCACAGGTTTTATGAAATGGCAACTAGTGGGACCCGATTAGGATAGAAAATACGGACTACGTGCCGTTATGTATTTTTGTAAATCTAAATACGGTCACGTACCGTTAAGTATTTTTGTACCTTAATTATTAGATTATTCCTAGTCGTAGACACTAGTATTTGCATAGTTTGGTTAAGTCTTGAAGACGGCGTATCTTGGAAGACAAAGCCTTGAATTGCAAATGAAGACCTTTTGAAGATTTGAAGAATTCAAGGGGTCATGCTAGTTGCCAATATGCATCTATAATTTCGCTTTATATTTTATGCATATATACATGTGAATTATTCGTTAGATGCATGTTTAGGTTTTTTTTATGTTGCGATGATTACTTAAGTTCACTTAAATCAACCAACGTAGAAATCCTAGGTCCCTTATAATATTGAGTCAAACTTGCCTTTCCAAAACAACACTTACCAACCGAACGAGGGTGATGGTAGGCTACGCCAAAGCGAGGTGCCATCACTTCTCTAAGGCTCATAAGGCACACCGGGTGTGCACGTTGATTTTGGTTTAACTCATCGGTATGAGTGAGGAGTCCTCACATACCCTGGCAAAAGAGATACATCGTCAAAGATGCATTAGATGCGACGATTGTCTAACCAAGAGTGGCTTAGAGCCATTAGCAAAGCAATGCTTACCCTAGAAGATTGAGTTTTAAGACAAGCCAAAGCATGCTTAACCACTCTTTATTTCTTCGAATCTTGGAATCGCCTTATTTTCACAAAATAGGGACAATTTTACGTGTAAATAAGACGCTAAATAAGTATTGAAAATTTGCATGAATAAAATTCAATCTTGTTTAAGTAATTTTGAATGGTTTTTCATTAAAATTCTTTCAATTGTAGAATCATGTCTTCAACTAATGACAACGACCTTATGTACTCGGAACTTCCCGAAAAGTTACCATTTTTGCTCAATTTGGTGAACTTTAAGGAATGGGAAGATGAACTCCGAAAGACACTCAGAAATTGCTACCTAGAGCATATCTTGGACACTCCGATCCCCAGTTTCCACTCGAAATGGATCATGAGTGATGAAGCTCATGAAGAATGGAGCATGGATTGCAAGAGAGTTTCGAAACTCATGGCAAACTCCATCCCGGTTCAATGGAAGGAGATTTTCTCCGGCTATTTTCCGGACATGATGCTCAAATCTCTTGAGGATGTAGTCAATTTGAGGGTCACCAAAAGTGCTAGGGGAAATTATGATGGTCACGTAAAGGATGTGACTAGTTCACTCTCCAAAATGAGGATCAAGCCACTGCAAGATGGTTGTCTCTCGAAAGAAAGACAAGAGGTGTGGGGAAAAGTCTACACCGCGAGACTTAGGCCCGGAATGCCACTTCAAGCTCATGTAATTAACATGACAAGGCTATTTAACCATCTGGAGCTAATTGGCAAACCAGTGGAAGACGAGCAAGAGGCTCACATGCTTGTTAGCTCTCTTCACTCGGGATATGTGGGGCTTAAAATGCGTCTCACCGCCAATAGGGATATACTGTCCTTAAGGGAAGTCATCCAAGAGCTCCAAAAGACCTATTCTTGCAAGAAGGCTAACTTTGCCATTAGACCAAGGAAGAAGGAGTTCAAAGACAAGAAGAAGATGCGCTCCTTCTATTGTGGTAACCCCGAACACTACAAAAGAAAATGCAGCAAGTATCTGGATGATGAGGCAAAAGGAAAAGTAACCTCAACCTCAGGTATCATCTTAAACACTTGAATATAAGCAATTTTAAAAGGTATTAGATACCGGAAAATTGAC